CCAATTTCAGCTGTCCTGGGACCAGCTTTGCAGTCCTCATGGGCGGAACCTCTGCCCTCACAGAGCGATCTGGGACCGAAGCGCCAGGGAGACAGCACATCTTCGAATGACACGTACGTCAAGGTTGCTGAACATCTACTTGTCACCGTGGACCCCAACCAGTGAGTTGTTGCACTGTGTATTCGCAAGCAGTGTGATAGTGAACGTGTAAGCTATGTGGTGCGAGCTGGTATCTGGTGCAGACTCACCTAGCCTCAACTTGCGATTACGACCTTCCGCTCTTAAAGGCGAAGTTGTATCGATGTCAGTCCCCAGTGAGTGGTACCCCGCCCCCCGACCTCTCTGGCCCCGTGGGATTCAAATAGGATTCCAATCGGACTCAAATAAGACTCCAATAGGATGCCAGTCGGATTCCAAGTGCATTCCAATGAGATCTCTTAGATCCCCAGTAGAATTCCAATAAGACCACAAACAGAGTCCACTAGGATTCCAATCGGATTCCAAAAAAGGAAGGGCCCAATCGGATTCCACTAGCACTCCAATCGGATTACAATGACATCCAAATGCGGTTCCAATCGTGTTCCAACGGGATTCGAGCGTGATTCTAAGTGTATGCCAATCGGATTCCCATTGGATCCCAATCAAACCTCACTATGACCCCACTAGGATTCCAACATCATTCCATTCACACTTCCAACTGGTTTATGATAAGATCTCAATCGGATTCCAATCGGATCCCTAAGGGTTCCAATCCGGCGCCAAACTTACCCCAATGCCAATCGGATTCCAATCGGATGCCGTCGTCCTCGTCATCGTCGTCGTCGCATCGTCGCCGTCGTCAACGTCGCTGGGTTCGACGGGCCAACACAGCCTCCCCGTTGTGTCATCCACAGCACGTCGTCGTCGTTGTCGTCGTCTTCTACTCTGGGAGGCATTCGCGGCGCGTCGTCGTCGTCGCCGTCGTCGACTACGCAGCACCTCCCCCTGGGGCATCCGCAGCGGGTTGTCGTCCTCGTCGCCGTCCGTCGTCGTCGTCGTCGTCGTCGTCGTCGTCGTCGTCGTCGTCGTCGTCGTCATCGTCGTCGTCTTCGTCGTCGTTGCCGTAGTCGTCGTCGACGACGGCGGGCCCATGCAGCATACAAGCACACACATACATTTGGCGATAACGGCCTGGCGCGCAGCGACGAGGCGGAGCAAGTCAAGAGCGGATGGGCAGCACACACATTTCTGGTTGCCGTGGCCTCGCGCGCACCGTCGGAAGCGAGTCCCTAGGCAAGAAGAGCGCGCGTACACTTTGTTTCACCAGCGAATGGGAGCCCAGTGGCAGAGTGCTGGGAGACGACGCGACACGACGACGAAAACGACGGACGACGGACGAACGACAAGCGCGGGGGAGGGGGGAAGGGGGGGGCGGAGCGGGAGAGGGTATACGCGCCAGGGGGCGCGCGCCCGGGCCCCCAGAGGGCCCAGCGCCGGCGGGGGGGCGGCCGCGCAACGCGCCCCGCCGCGGCAGTAACGCAGGCGCAGCCCGCGGATCGGCAGGCCGGCGCGGCTTACGCGGCCGCCCGGGCCACGACGCGTCGCAGCGCCGCTTCGCCGAGCTCCGCCAGCTCGCCCGCGAGCCGCTGCTGGACCTCGCCCACCTTGCCCCGCGTGAGCACGCCCAGCGGGCGGGCGAGGGCCCGCGCAGCCGTCCAGCGGCCCTGCGCGAGCCACTCCAGGCCAGCGCCCGCAGCTCCACCGCCGCGTCCGCCGGCGCCGCGACCCGGGCCGCCTCCCCCCGCGCGGGGAAGCGCTCACGGGTGGCGCGGCGGCGCCCACGAAGGCACTCGCCGTGGCGCCGTCAGCGCTGGCCGCTGCCCGACGTCCGCTCGTGGCGCCAGTTACCGACTGGGACTGGGCCAAGCGCTACCGGCCGCGGCGCGTGGCCTCGGCCGCGGGCGCCCAGCCAGCGTCGTCCGCCCCAGAGGCGTCCGCCGCTGGCGCGGTGTCGCGGGCCGCTCCGAGGGCGCTCGTCCCGGCCGCGCCAGGCCGCGGTCCCGCCTCGTCGGCGCCGCGGGCTGCCGCCTCGGGCGCGCTCGCCGCGGGCGCGCTCTCGCCCGGCGCCAGGCGCGCCAGCGTCGGCCGCCCAGGCGGCCCCCGCCGCGGGCGGGGCGGAGCGCGCGCGCGTTCAGTGCAGCGGCGCGGCGCTGGTGCCGTGCGCCCCCGGGCCTGGGCCAGCCGCTCCGCGCTGGGCGCGGCCTGCTGCCCAGCGGCCGCGGCCACAGCCGCCGCGCGTGGTGCGCCGCGGGCCGCCTGCGCGCCGCCCCGCTGGCGGGTGCTCCGCGCTTGGCGCCGCGGGGCAACCGCCGCGGGGCCGGTGGTCTGGGTGCCAGCGGGGCAGCCGCCGGCTGCTCCGCTCGCGGTCTGGCCGACAGCGCGTCGTCGTCGCTGTCCTCGTCCGCGTCCGCCCAGGCGTGCTCCTGCAGGTGGCCAAGCCGGGAGTGGGCCCAAGCGTCCAGGGCGTCGCACGACGCCTGGAGGTTGCCGCCCTCGCTGTCCGCGCCCCCCGAGCTCGCCGGGCTGCGGGCCCTTTCTGGAGGCGCGTTGGCGCTCTCGCTTGCCGCCCTCCGGCGTGGCCCGCCTTGTCCTTCCCCCAGCGGACCAGAAAAGTCCCGCCTCCAAGGCGTTCCACCGTGGAGGACGTTACACACATTCGCTCGGCTGCGCGGGACAGATAGTTGAGCGAGAGCGAGCGCGGCACACACACACAGTGGGGCAGCCGCCAATCTCGATTCCGTTCCGGTGAGAATGCGATCGGAAGTAATATTCTACTTCTCTTACTCCCACCGTCCCGCCCCCCTGCGGAGAAACATATGCATTCGGGAAGCTAAACGACATCGCTCGGCAGTTCCCCCGCCCCCCGCCCCTTTGGGAATGAACTGCTCCATGTATGTGGTACTGATGACGTGGGGGGTCCTCATCTCGTTTTTCATCGGAGTTGGGATTATGTGGAGCAAGTCATGTGTAATATGAAGTCATGAGCAATCAGACGTGTAATGCAAGCTGTGTGGTGTAAACTATCATGTGCCATAGAAGTAAATGGTGCAACTCATGATTCTGATCATGAAGTCGTCCTCTCCGCTGCTCGCGCAAACGCCAGACCCTCCCACACGCAACTTGCTCGACAAAACCCATTCGGCCATCCGTGCGCTGACTGGTTGGCCCTTGCTAGCGCATCTCTGCGGCCGCGATGGCGCGCGCACGCTCGCGCGCAGATTGGCCAGCTAGTTTGGCACAACTGATGCGGCTGCTATGGCGCTTACCGATGGGAACTTCCCAACGCGTCTCAAAGGCTGCGGTGGCGCGCGGCCTTCGAGGGCTGCTGGGAGGGGTGCAGCCACCAAGGCGGCAGCCTGTGGGTGGCTGCGAACTGCGAAACCGTCGCCACTTTCGGTGGCTGCTGGGTGGCCAGCGGGGTATCTTCGTACGGGGATCCAGGCTAAACCTCGCCATCCCGGGGGAATGGGGTGGGGGGACACTGTCGCCATTTTCGAACGCTGAAGGGGGACCCAGTTGGGTGTCGTCTTCGCATGCCTTGCCCTTCATTGCTTGCCAGTGCATGCTATGTCTCGCTCTGCTTCCACGCTCTCGCCCCTCTGTTTTGCACGTTCTCCTGCGGTCCTACTTCCGTCTGGGTCGTGCAACGCGCGGGCCTCTTCCACAGCTCACCAGTTTCACTTACACGCCATCAACCCCAATGACGTGGCCCATTGTTCTTGTCATTTCGTGGGTGAGGTGTGGGTGCGCCGTGGTGTAAGTCAACGCTGTTGTTTGAGATGGGGTGTTCGTCAAGCTCGGTGAAAGGTGGATGCGTACCGCTCGTAGCTGCGGGTTGGACGTGTAGACGGGGGAATGGGGTCGGACGTGAAGGAGGAAAGGTGGACCTGGAGGCGGGTGTGGGAGTGGAGTTGGTCGTGGTTGGGGCAGTGGTTGCGGGTTGCGGAGGGGCGTGAACCTGGAGGTTGGTAAGGAGAAGAGAAAACATGAAACGGAGGCTAAGGTGGATCTGGAACTGGAGTTGGAGGTGAAAGTGCAGGGGGACGGCGCGGAGGAGGCTGGGCAAGTTGTGTGGTTGGCATCCCCCTTCCCCCTCAGCGGCTCAGTATGCTAAGCCGTGGCAGCGATATTATGGCAAGCGTCGGTCATGAAGTACATGACGATGTAGTGGCTCGCGTGCAGGTCAGCGCGCGCAAATGTGGTAGTGTGGTGGGCGGTGTGCCGTCGGCGACCTTACCGTCACCATAACCATCTTACCATTGACCACATTACTCACCCTCAACATCATCAACATCACCATCGTGTCCAGCGACATGGACACCATCGTCACCATCAGCACCATCGCAGGCATGACAATCTCGTCGATACAGCGTCACGCGTCGCACGCTCCTGCATTTGTGAGGTTCACAGGGGCGTGTAGTTACGAACCAGGAGCCTCTGACAGGATCAGATCCGACGCCAGTATTGGCGAGGGCCTGCGCGGCAAGGGGAACTGTGCTTCGCTGCCGGGAGGCCCGTGAAGCGCGGTCGTCGGAGTCTGCGAACCCTTTGCGAGTCCTTCGTCACTCCTCCTATGTATCCGGTAGCCTTCGGCCAATCAAGCCGCAGTGGTTGGTGCGTGGATCAGAGAACTTTTAGAGGCCTCGTGAGGGCCATCTCGAGAGGGCTTTTTTGGTGCGGCTTGGGGGCATGGGGGATCGCATTGGTTCCTCCTGGGAGCTTCTTGGGTGCCTCTGGGTACCTCTTGCGAGCCTCTTCGAGCTTCTTGGGCGCATGCTGGCCTCTTGGGGCCAATCTGGAGGGAGAGGGCCATGTTTGCCGCTGCGAGTTGTCCTTTCTGTGTCCCTCTTGGGGCCGTCTTGGGGGCCTTTTGGGCCCCTGTTGGGAGATTGGGGGCTCTTGAAGTGATCTAGGGGGCCTGTCAAGCCGTCTTGCCCTTACGACCGAAAGTGCAGGCCGCCACCCAGGGCCCCGAAGGAAGCCCCAGCACGGCCCGAGGGGGCATGTTGTGAGTTTTGTCTTCCAAGCCACACTTCCGACAGATTTTGCAAGGCACGCGTCAAGCCCTGAGAGCGCCCCTGATCATGGATATCGGTGTTCTTTTGCCAGCATTTGCAACATACTATATTGAGATCACGAAGTGGCGTGAGGACACCCCGCTCAGTGTCTACGGCACGTTGGCGGATTTCCTAATGTCTTGATGGACATGATCCTTCTCGAAGTTCTGTCCTTGCTTTCTCGCCTACTAGGCATTGTTGAGCATCGCATTCACCAGATTCAGAATGTGCTCCCCTGCAAGGCCGCCGACTTTCTGCAGCAAGTTCACACACCGTGTGCGCAGCTGGTGAATGACATTGGACCCCAGCTTGCACCTCTGGGTGTTCCACTACTCTGCATCGCGATCAACTTGCTGTCTGAATGCGCACAACTTTACAGTGTTTTAAAGGGCTTTATGATAAGTCCTGGTTGCCCACACCTTGACGACTGCATCCACACCTCGTTGTTGTGTCTTTTCATGGTTGTTGAAGCGTTGGTCATAGCGGTTGCACCTCTTCGCCTCTCGTCAGCATTGGACGACTTGAAGGAGCGTCTCAGCGACACGCGGTGCAACAGTCCTGAGCTTCACGCTCAACTGCAGGCAGTGGAAACAGTGCTAAATCAGGCGAACGGCGGGCGTGGTTGGGGGATCAAAGTATGCAGGGGCGTAGTCTTGCACAAGGACTTGTTGCAAGCCACTTGCATCAGAGCGGCGCTAGTGGCGACGGCTGTGTTGGCGTTCCTTGATTCGCATCTGGGTTTCGAGAAGGCCATGGGGGAGGAACACACCAGCATCCAGCACGTGATGGAGAGGGAAAATGCCATCGAGGCTGAGATGTCGAGCATCCGACACATGCTGATCAACATGACGATGCTCATTCAGAATCGCAAGTGAGAAGGCAGCAGTCCAGGGCTTGCCTTGTCAGTGGACGAGTTGCTAGGTTCACTGCCACATCATCTCGGCCTCAACCCCTCCCAGGCAGAGTGCGGCAAGGTAAACGAGCAGGACGGAGTGCAGGTCGTGGAGGCGGGTAGCAGGGATGGATCCCCTTGGGCCCCTGTCTCAGTGGCCCGCCCCCCCCCCCCCCTCCAGTAGGAAGGAGGAGTCGGAGTAAAGGAACGAGGGGGCGGACATCAGGCAGAACAGGAAGAGGGTGAGGTCGAGGAGATCCCCCCCCCTCCTCCTCCCCCTCCTCGACTTCCTCCTCCTCCTCCTCCTCGTTCTCCTCCCCACCCCGCGTTCCATCTTCCATCCTCCGTCCCTTGTCTCGATTACCCCCCCCCCGTATTTCTAGGACAGGACTGAGCACACTTAGGGCCCCGTCCTTTCCACTCCCGTAGTATCCCATCCCCCGTCAATGCTTGAAGAACTTGGAGTCGCAAGCTGCAGTGGCCGAGCAAACATCCCACAAACCCAGCCGCATTTTCTATGACGCGAGGACCCCATATCTTTCAGACCCATGGCCCTGGCGGACGAGTGGTGAATGTGTCGACGGCATCAGCGATGATTATGATGATAGTGATGGCGGTGGCGATGACGAGGGTGGCGACGACGACAATGACGATGACGACGATGGTGGTGATCGCGGCGGTGATGGTGACGGTAATGAAGATGGTTGTGTTGGTGATGGTGACGCTTGTGATGATGCCGGCGATGGTGTCGATGAGGACGATAAGTAAGTGCGAGTGCAAAGACGTTTACACATTTCATATTGAACACCATGTACATCTTTAAACGTTTAGAAAACAGGTGGGGTCACAAGGAGTCCGACGTCCGCGCTGAGACGCGCGCGTGTGGCCCGCAGCGGTTTTCTTTGACAGTATTGGCAGGCGGGCGATGACTGTTGAATGATTTGTGGCATGCGCTCGCGTGTGGCCCGCATGGCGTCTCTGGAGTTGCAAACAGATGCTTCCAACGACTCGACAGAGAGCGCATTGTCGGATCAAAGCGCGTGCTCCGCAGATCATCATTTGACAGGGATGGTGGGAGAGTGATACGGGGACCGGCGGCTAGAACTGTATGAAGTCGCATTCCTCAAACAGTGTTTGCATTTGGGGGGGTTCTGCTTGGCTTTCTTGATTCGCCGCTCGGGCGTCCATGCCCTTTCGTGGGCGCCTCATCGGCGAGTCGTGCGCTGGGTGGGTTCCCCGAGGTGTCGCCTAGTTGGCGCTCGTGCCCGCCTGTGGTGGGGCCCAGGGGCGCCCCGTGCGATAGCACCACATGGCGTCCGCAGTATACATAGCCTACACGACAGAACCTGCACCGCACAGCTTGCAGCGCATAGCTCGCACCACGTGTCTCGCCATAGACAACTTACACAGCAGAGTTTACACTACACAGCTTGCACTGTGCAGCTGTCACCACACAGCTTCCACCACTTACAGTACACAACACAGCTCACACCATATAGCTTACACTTCACAGCTTACGCGGCATAGCTTACACAGCATAGATCACACCAGCTAGCATGCACCGTGCATAATTCGCAACATAATTGAACAGTGCATCTTATACGTAATACATTACACGCCACTACACAGCATAATTTACACCACATAGCTTGCAATGCCTCCCTCTATCTATACACATGAAATACATACCTACATACGTACACACATGCACGCTGGTGCACACACACAAATACATGCGTGCATACAAACATACATGCATAAATACATACACACATACAAGCATACATACAATTATATATGTACACATGTGTATGTACACACATAGCTGCACACAGCTTCCATCTCTATATATGTACATCACTCTCACTACAATAACACACTTGTTGGGTGCCCACGCTGGCGAACATTTAGGGCTAAGGGTCATGCAGAAGCAGTTTGAGAACGTGGACCCCCAAACAGATACTTCGTGCTTAGTGGGGGTGAGTGTGCACGAGGTGCCCAGGTGGCACGGGCGGCAACGTAACGCAACCTAAGGAAACCCACCCAGCGCACGGGGCGCCTACGAGACGCCCACGAGGTGACACGGGCGACAACGTGGTGAAAATCCGACATGCCCCCAAAGGGCGGGGCGCCCAGGAAGCGCACACGAGGCGGCACGGGCAGCAATTCTGCGAAAATCCAACGTGCCCCCCAAGCGCGGGGCGCTCACAAGGCGCCCACGAGGCGGCACGGTTGGCAACGTGGCGAACACCCGACACACCCGTCCAGTTCCTTACGAAGGCCAAGTCAGAACCCCGAAGTCCAAGCGCTGATTGGGGCATACAATCGGAACGCCGGAATACCGTTGGAACACCAGTATACGAGGGGGGGCGTTAACTCCAGCTACGGGATGTGGGTAGAGCACGGGGCGGCCACGAGGTGGCGACGGGCAGATACTGGGCGAAACCCTGGAAGACCCAGCCAGCGGGACGGCAACGAAGCGTTGACGGGCGGACGTTGGGCAAAACCTTGAAAAACACAGTCAGCCTTCTGGCGGCGACGGGCTGCCACTGGGCGAACACCCCGAAACCCTATTCAATAATATGATTACTAAGAGCATATTGGGGCAAGCGTTGTCTGGGCTCTGTTGGGGGAACCTCGTGAACACAAGATATTCCCTCGTCCTGTTACCTCCCTCATCCTACTTCTTCTCGCCGCTCCTCTTTTCGCCTACCGTGGCGTGGTTGCCAGGGAGCACGGACCCGTGGAAAGAGGCAGATATATTGGCTAGGCCTCCCAAGTGGGGTCCGAGTAGATGGGGTCGGAGGATCGCGCCGCATCGCCGATGCATCGGGGATGCAACTCGATGTGAAGCCCGACGTTCTCCGCGCTGGCGTCGCCGATGCATCGCCGACGTCGCCGGTGTATCGTCGATGCATCGGCGATGCGGCGTGATTCCCTGACCTCATCCATTCGGAGGCATCTATGCTGATGTTGGACAGAGGTTACCGCTGCACACGCCAATGCAGCCCCTCTCCCTCTTCTACCCTCTGCGCCCCTCCTCATTCCTCCCGCTCGCCCCTTCTCCGCTATCATTACCCGCCTCCTCCCATCCTCCCACAACCTCGTCCCCCCTTCCCACATGTCTGCCCTGTCGTATCCAACCCTTTCCTTTCCCCTCATCCCCCCATCTCGTCTTTCCTCCCCGGCCCTCATCGATCCTCCCATCTTCCCCCCCCTCCTCCCCATTTCCTCCTCCCTCTTCCCCGCCCCCCTTCCTCCACCCTTTCCCCCCCTCCCTCTCCTCACTTTTTCCGCTGCACTCCCTTCTCCCTACAGATCCTCGCCTCCTTATATCTGCTCCCCTTTGCTCCCCTCCTTGCCCCTCCCTGCCCCTCCCTGCTCTTGAGACAGAAGGCGGACGGAAAAGCCAGGAAGTAGGAGGAGGAGGAGGAGGAGGAGGAGGAGGAGAAGGACAAACTAAACAGGGCCGATGTACAGACTTTGCAGGCGCCGCGCAGGCATCGCGGGGAACCATCGGTTTGTCGACTCCCTCCCTCCTTCCCCATATTCCCTCTGTGCATCTCTCCCTCTCCTCGTCTCTGATCCTCCACCTCCTCTCGTTCATCCTATTTTTGGTGTGCGAGCATACCGTCAAAATAAACCACAACTAACATGTCAATAGGCGCGGATGCGTGCCGAATGCATCAACGGCCACGCGCATCCGCAATAACGAGTTTCTGTTTTGGATCGCCTGTGGAGCGCTCTCTGAAAAGACTTCACCGTTCAGATATCAACACTCTGCCGAGTATGATATAGTAAGACGCGAACCATGCCGAAGAGCGATCGCCGAAGCAGAGGGCGATGGCCTGGCTCGATGGAATCCTCCACAGCTCTGCTGTGGAAGCCCAGGTTTGACGGGAAACCGTGCCGTTCGAGATGCCCAGAGACCGTTCACTTCTTCCACCTCCTCCTCCTCCTCCTCCTCCTCCTCCTCCTCATCATCCCCTCACACCCTTACCCCCCTCACCCTCTCCCTTCCTTCTTCCTCCCCCCTATCCCTCCTCTGGTTGCAGGGTGAGCTGGGCTAGGCCGGGCTGGGATCTGCCCCGTCCTCCCTTACTCCTTCCCTCCCTCCCTCTCCCCTCCCTCCCTCCCCCTTCACTCTGCATGCGTGCAGGATGGGCGGTTCTGTGCTGGGCTGGGATGGGCAGAACTGGACAGTGCGGGCAGGTTCGCTGGTAATCACGGTCGGTGACCAGCTTGGGGCAGGGAGGATCGGGGGGGGAGGGGGGGCATGGAGCGCCTTCCGTTCCCCTTCCTCCGCTCATGTCCTCGGGATCTCACTTCCTTCCCTCCCCTCCCCTTCCTCCTCCCCCTCCTTCCTCCTCCCCCTCCTTCCTCCTCCCCCTCTTCCCTCCCTTCCTTCTCCCCCTCCCCCTCCTTCCCCTCCTCTTCCCCCTCCTTCCCTTCCCTTTCTTCCTCTTCCCCTCTCCTCCCTCCTCCTCCTCCTCCCCTCCTCCTCCTCCTCCTCCTCCCCTCTCCTCTCCTCCTCCTCCTCCTCCTCCTCCTCCTCCTCCTCCTCCTCCTCCTCCTCCTCCTCCTCCTCCTCCTACCCTCTCCTTCTCCTTCCCTCTCCCCTTCCTGCCTCGGGATCAGATTTCCTCGTCGCGTTTCGCAAGAAGGTTCTCGCAACTGTGAGGCAGAACAGAGGAGCCCCACTCAGGGGCGGCGCGGAGAGCCCGAGGCCACGCCCCGGGACCGCCCAATTCTGGCAGCCGCTTCGCCGGAGGCGTCCTCGCATTCTTGTTTTTCAGGAGTCGTGCTCTCGCCAGGAAGCCGGGCGGCTACATTTCTTCCGAAGAAGAAACAAGCCATAAACATAAACTTTTGGCGCTCCGCGCGGATTTCCTGGATCCGCGCCTGGGACCCCCCTGGCGGCGTATCCGGCGCCGCCTCTGGCGCGCTCCGCGCGCCAGGGAGGGGAGCCCAGCGCAGATCCAAGAAATCCGCGCGGAGCGCCAAAAGTTTACGTGTATGCCGCTTATGCGAACACAGCAGAATTGATGAACGGAGCCGAACGTGTCTCGGCCACGCGGCCGGGACACGTTGAGCTCCGTTCATCATCCTGTTGTGTCCGCTCCGTCTCCTCCAAGCAAAGACAGC